GGGGGGATGACAGACAGGGTTTGTGGGAGTTGGGAGCCCAGAGGGGGCCCCGGTGGGTGTGGGGCTGGCGCTCACCTCTAGAGTACAGCGTTTAGCTGGGTTCAGCACCAAAAATCTCCGCAGGATGCTCTCACAGTCTGTTGACATGTAGAAAGGGACCCGGTACTTCCCTCTGAGGACACGCTCCCGCAGCTCCTGGGGGGACGGGGTTACTGGGGGAGGGGTCTGCTTGGCCTCTCCATCCCCCCTTCACACTCATTTTGTTTCAACCCCTCTGATGGAAGCAGCAGAGGCCCAGCCCTGATGAGGAGTCAAAACCCTACTCCGCTCTTGCTCCTGACCTCCGTTCCCCATCTGTAAAATGGGAATACTGCACAGATGCAGTAATTAAAAAAAATTTTGGCTGGGTGTGGTGGCTCATGCCTGCAATTCCAGCACTTTGGGAGGCCAAGGTGGAAGGATCGCTTGAGCCCAGGAGTTCGCGATCAGCCCAGGCAACGGAGACTTCATCTCTACAAAAAAATCTAAAAAAATTGGCTGGGTGTGGGGACACGTGCCTGTAGTCCCAGATACTTGGGAGGCTGGGGCAGAAGGACCCTTTAAACTCAGGAGGTTGAGCCAGTCTGGGTGACAGAGTGAGACCCTGACTAAAAAAAAATTTTTTTTTAAAAAACAGCATGACTTTTCATTCAGGGGAAATCTTACAGAGAAAGTGAACTCTCTAAGTCAGACAAGAGGGAGGGGACAGTGAAACAGTCTCTGGGCCCTCAGTCTCCTTATCTGTAAAAGGGATCACAGCTCCCCTCCTTCCAGGCTTCCTGCCAGGGCATGAGTGAGCTAAGATCCACAGAACGCTTAGCACATGCTTGGCCCATAGCAAGTGCTGTGTAAACAGTAGGTTCACTAAGGGGAGGGATGCTCCTGCCACCCCCTCCAGTCTTCCCAGCTCCCTCCACCAGCCATTGTCCCCGACCCAAGGACAGTCAGGGATTTGGATGCTGGCTCTCTTCTTGAGGGCCTTTTAGGAGGGCCCACCAAAGTTGTGAAAAGCAAGATGGACTTGAGGCTTGGCAGACCGGGGCAGGGGAAGCCCTTCCCTCTGAATAAGAAGCTGAGGGAGACAGAAAGTATGTAGGGGCGGAGGTGACCAGGAGTCCCTTGGGTGGTGCCCTCTGCCTGGGCCCAGGTTGGGAGCATTATCTTAAAACGGCTGAGAGGGCACATGTCTGCAGGGACCTCCCAGGCCTGCAGATCATGACAGCCCACAGGGTTGTGAATATCCAATTGGATTGCTTTCAGAACACTTAGTCCAGACCAGGCAGTGTTCAAAGCGCTTTATGAATACATGTATATACTGAGGCTCAGCAAGGACTCGTCCAAGGTCACTCATATATATATACACACACACACACACACACACACACACACACATATATGAGTCAGAGGTTCACTCAACTCAGGTTGAAGTGCAGTGGCATGCTCACGGCCACTGCAGCCTCGATCTGCTGGGCTCAGACAATCCTTCCACCTCAGCCCTCCAAGTAGCTGGAACTACAGACACATGCCACCATGCCTGGCTAATTTTCTGATTTACTATAGAGAGGAGGTCTTGCCAAGTTGCCCAGGCTGGTCTCAAACCCTTGGGCTCAGGCAGTCCTCTCATCTCTGCCTCCCCAAATGCTGGGATTACAGGCATGAGCTGCCACACCTGGCTATGCTTTGTGAATATAATACCTGTTTTCTCAATGCTGTGAAGTGTGGTTATATGCCCATGTTCCAGATGAAGAAACTGAGGCCCAGAGAGGCTTGGTCACTTGCCCTGGGTTGCACAGCCAGAAAGTGGCAGGGCCTTTCTTCAACCCCAGACAATTGGGGTCTGAAGCCTGTGCTGTGCTACCACTGTGCCACACTGCCGAAGGTGAGAAGAAGCCAGCAGGCTGCCACTGCCACCACCAGAGTGACTCCCAGGAGTGACCATGTGGCCAGATGCCAGGCCCCAGCAAAGGACTTTACGTGCCCAGACTGGCTGCAAGTGAACATTCTTCATGTCCCCGTCTTACAGGTGGGAAACTGAGGTTCAGTAAGGACTCGACCAAGGTCACTCAGAGAGGAAATGACAGAGCTGGAGCCTGCCCTGGGCTTTGCCCTTCCTTTGCCCAGCAAGGCCTGGGGGGCCTGGTGGGGAAGCCAGGACGGCAGCAAGTGACAAGGGCCTGGGGTGAGGGAGGCGTCAGCCTGGCCCTTGACAAGGTCTCTTAGCTTCACCTTTGAGGCTCAGAAAAGTTATCCCATGATAGGACTCCCACACTCCAGGCTTTAGGTACTTTTGGAGTGTCAGGGGGTGCTTTTTTTTTTTTTGGCGTTGGAATCTCACGCTGTCACCCAGGCTGAAGTACAGGGGCATGATCACAGTCCACTCAGCCTTGCCTTCTGGGTTTGGGTGATCCTTCTGCCTCAGCCTCCCAAGTAGCTGGGACTACAGGTACATGCCACCATGCATGGCTGATTTTTTTTATTTTAATTTTTTTTTTTAGAGGGAAGGTCTCACTGTGTTGTCCAGGCTGGTGTCGAACGCCTGGACTCAAGTGATCCTCCCATCTTGGCCTCCCAAAGTGCTGGCACTAAAGGCATGAGCCATCATGCCCAGCCTCAGAGGCTGTCATCTATGTGAGCCCTCAAATAGCTGTGACAAGGTTGGTAACTTTTCTTTTTTTTGTTTTTTGAGTTGAAGTCTCACTCTGTTATCCAGGCTGGAGTGCAGTGGCACGCTCATGGCTACCATAGCCTCTACTTGCAGGACTCAAGTGATCCTTCTGCCTCAGCCTTCCAAGTAGCTGCAACTATAGACACATGCCACCATGCCTGGTTAATTTTTTGTAAAGATGAGGTCTCGCTTTGTCGCTCAGGCTGGTCTCGAATCTCTGGGCTCAGGCAATCCTCTCGCCTCGGCCTCCCAAAGTGCTGGGATTACAGGTGTGAACCACCACGCCTGGCCAAGGTGTTATCTTTATGATTCCCATTGAAGACAGAGGGAGACTGAGGCTTAGAGGAGTTGGCTACTTAGACAAGACCACTATGGAGAAGTGGCTCCCTCCTCCCCTTCTTCACTCAGGTCTCTGTCCTAATGTTGGGTTTCCTGGACTTTCCGATCTCAAATCCCTACACACTCCTTATGGGCTGCACCAAGCAGGACGGAGACTCCCTGCTGTAGAAATCCCGCCCCCAATACATCCCCTGAATCCAAAAGAGAAGAGAGACCAGGCAACCCAAGCTGAGAGGCATTCTGCAAAATGATGGGCCTGACCTTATCAGTCATGTCCATGTCACGAAAGGATAAGAACTGTTCCAGATGGAAGGAGACACAAAACACAGCAGGGCTGAAGGTAAACTGGGTGCGTGGGTGGACCCTCGACCAGGAGAAAGCATAACCATCCAGGACGTTCCCGGGATAGTGGCTGAAATCTGAGTATGAATTGTCGGGTGGAGGCCAGCTGCGTTTCCTGTGTGTGACCATCAACAGGAAAACACTCCTGGTCTCAGGAGATAACCTGCTGTGGCCTTTAGGGATAAAGGGACACAGGAGGGCTGGACACGGTGGCTCATGCTTGTGTAATCCCAGCACTTTGGGAGGCTGAGGCGGAAAGGTCACTTGAGGCCAGGAATTCGAGGACAGCCTGGGCAACACAGTGAGACATTGTCTATAAAAAAGAAAAAAAATTAGCCAAGTGTGGTGGCGCATGCCTGTAGTCCCATCTACTTGAGAGGCTTAGATGGGAGGACTGCCTGAGACCTGGAGGTCGAGTCTGCGATGAGCCATGACTGTGCCACTGCACTCAACCTGAGCAACATAGCAAGATCCCAATTTAAAAAAGGGGCGAGGGCGGGCACACACAGGTTCTGCAACAAACTGTCAGATGATCCATCAACAATCGTGATGATGGCAAATACAGACAGACACACAACAAACGTGGCCAGGCGCCAGCAACCGTAACTCTCCTGAAAGGTACCATGTGTTCTTTGCTCTATTCTTGCGACGTTCCTGTGGATTGGCAATGTTTCAAAATAAAACACTCAAAGGAAAAAAAAAAAAGTAAACGACGACTCAGCCCACACTCCCCCCTCTTTCAGTATCCCCCTTCCAGCCCTGGCCAGCCTCGGATATCACATCTCTTCTGCTTGTTTATCTGTTTTGTTCACGGCCTGGCCCTGCTGCTAGAATGTCAGCCCACGAGGACAGGCGTTGTTTTGTTTGAAGTGCACACTTTGCTGGTTTTTAGTACATTCATGAAGTTGTGCCGTCTTCACCACAATCAACCGGAGAACATTTTCACCATCTCCAAAGAGACTCTGTGCCCTTAGCAATCAACCTCTGAGTTCCCCCCACCCTCAGCCTCAGGCAGCCACAAATCCACTGTCTCTATGGATTTGCCTGTCCTGGACATCTCACATAAATGGCATCACGCACTCTCAGCAGTCTTATGTGGCTGAATTCTGTCACTTAGCAGTTTTCAAGGTTCACCCACAGTGTGACACATGCAAAGGCAGCGATTTTTGTCTCTCTTGTTCATGCCATATTTATAAAGCCCAAAACAGAGCCTGACACAGAGAGGAGGGCAGTCAATATTTTTTTGGTTTTTTTTTGAGTCAGAGTCTCACTCTGTCACCGGGCTAGAGTGCAGACCTCCTAATCTTAAGCGAGCCTCCCGCCTAAGCCTCCTGAGTGGCTGGAACTACAGGTGTGTGCCACCACACCTGGCTAATTTTTAAATTTTTATGGAGATGAGGTCTCGCTGTGTGGCCCTGGCTTGTCTCAAACTCCTGAGCCCAAGTTATCCAGCCACCGCGGCCTCTCAAAGTGCTGGAATTACGGGCATGAGCTACCACATCCAGCCGGGCAATCTGGGCAGACGAGCCAGGATCTGAACCCCAACCGGTCAGCCGCACAGCCTGTGCCCTGAACCCCCACACAGCATGTCCTCCTCGAGCTGACCTCACAGCCGCGGGGACTCAAGCCCTGCCTGCCCCCGTCTGGCCACGTGACGCCTGGCCAGCCTCACTGCTCCTGCACTCTGCAGAGGAGGCACGCAGGGGTCAGAGACTCGACTGTGGGGACACCCCTGGCCCGCGCCGCCCAGCACCTTGAGGTTGTGCCCGTCGAAGGGCAGGGAGCCGCTGACGAGGGTGTACAGGATGACGCCCAGGCTCCAGATGTCCACCTCCGGCCCGTCGTACTTCTTGCCCTGAAACAGCTCTGGGGCGGCGTACGGGGGGCTCCCGCAGAACGTGTCCAGCTTCGAGCCCAGCGTGAACTCGTTGCTGAAGCCAAAATCGGCAATCTTGATGTTGGCCTCGGCATCCAGCAAGAGGTTCTCGGCCTGGGGGCAGAGAAGAGAGGGTGGTGGGTGGGATTCATGGCCAAAGCCCTGTATGGACATGGGAGGAGGACAGAGACTGGGGCCCAGAGTCGGTTCACCCAGACTGACTCTCGGACCTGTCCCTTCCTCTCTGCCTGACCTTGGCCAGTGATGTCACCTCTCGGGGCCTCGGTTTTATCATCCACAGAGTGGGGACAATCACAGTCCCTACCTCATAGGATAGTTTGAGGATTGAGTTAATCCACATTAAAAGACCTAGTGTTTTGTACTCAGTGAGCACCATGTAACATCACTATGATCCCATGTGGTTTGCAGAGCTGGGGGTCTTCGGGTTATTTCCTGACTCAGGCTCAGTTTGCCCAGTGGAAAGAAAATGAGGCCTGATTGCTCAAGACCCACAAAAATGAAAATAACAATTTAATCCCTGTGTATTTACTATGCACTGGGCTCTGTGAGCTATCATTTATAACAGAGACTACGTAAGACTGTAGATTCTTAGAGGACTCTGGCTTCAAATCCCAGCTCCCTTGCTTACTTGTTGTGTGACTTTGGGTGGGTTACCATGCCTCTCTGGGCCCCAGTTTTCCCATGTGTAAACTGAGGGTAATCATAGCACCTTCCGGAAAGATAACAAGGAGTCAAATGTAAAGTGCTTACAGCATGTGGAATACAGTCAGCACTCAATGTATGTTTTGAGCCGTTATAAAGTTTTGTGACCAGGCACAATGGCTCACATCTACAATCCCAGCACTTTGGGAGGCCGAGGCAGGATGATTCCTTGAGCCCAGGAGTTTGAGAACCAGCCTGGGCAACATAGTAAGATCTCGTCTCTACAAAAAAAACAAAGGCGGGTGTGTGGCGCATGCCAGCAGTGCTAGCTACTTCGAGAGGCTGAGGCAAAAGGATCGTCTGAGCCCAGCAGGTCGAGGTTACGATGGCCACGAGTGTGCCACTGTACTCCAGCCTGGGTGACAGAGTGAGACTCCGACTTAAAAATAATTGATAAAATAAATAAATAAAAATAAAGCTTTGTCTGTTTTTGTGACTCATGATCTTGTAACTGCCATTTCACAGGAGAGGAAACTGAGGCTCGGGAAGGCCAGGCCTCATACCCACAGCAAGAAAGCGGCAGAGCTGGGACCCAGACATGGCCGCCATCTCCAGGGCCCGAGCGTGGAAGGAGTCCCTGCGTCCTGCCTCTCATAGCCTTTTGACGACACCCAGATGCCCAAACCCACCCTTCGGAATTTCAGTCGAATCTGGCCTATCCAACTGCGCTCCCTCCTGAGCTCAGAGCACCAGCTCCTCTGGCCTCCTCGTGGGGGTCCCTCTGGACCACAGGTTTATTTCTAAACCACCTCCTGCCCCAACAAAGGAACAAGCCCACAAAGGTAGGCCAGAAGGCTCGTCCCCAAACCTGAATCTGATAGCATCTGCTATACTCAGGGGTTACATTTACTTTCCTGGCATTCAAGGCTTCACGATCCAGCCCCAACCTCACAACCAGGTCAGTCCCCTGGGCTGGTACCCAGGACCCTGAAATTTATTTTGGTCACTTCCAGGACCCTCCACCAGGGGGCGAGCGACTCCAGGTTAATCCTCCCAGAAGCGGGAAGGAAGTCCTCAATCGAGGCTGTGGGTGTGTCCAGACACCAGAGCACAGAGAGGGTGAACATTCTGAAACTCCCTAGCACCTGACAGTGGAATTTGATGTCTCTGAATAGTTTCTAAAATGGGGCTTGTTATTTTATGCATCTTTTTCTCATTTCATTTTTCCTGTAATTCACTTAGATTGTATTTTACAAAAGTACCTGCCCACAATGGACTGGACCTTTTTTTTTTTTTAATTGAGTCAGGATCTCACTCTGTCACCCAGGCTGGAGTACAGTGGCCCGATCGTGGCTCATGGCAGCCTCGACCTCCTGGGCTCAGGTGGTTCTCCTGCCTCAGCCTCCCAAGTAGCTGGGGCTATAGGTGTATGCCACCATGCCCCACTAATTTTTTAATTTTTTGTAAAGATGAGGGCTTGTTATGTTGCTAAGGTTGGTCTTGAACTCCTGGGCCCAAGCAGTACTCCTGCCTCAGTCTCCCAAAGTGCTGAGATTACTGGTGTGAGCCATAGTGCCCCGCCTGAACTTTTTTTAAAACAATGAAACAAATGCAGTCCTTGGCCACAGATAGCTTGAGCAGCACTTCCTTCAAGTGCTCAGTACACAGCCTAGCACATAGTAGATGCACACAAAATGACAGTCAAGACAGCTCTGGCTGGGCATGGTGGCTCACACCTGTAATCCCAGCACTTTGGGAGGACGAGGCAAGAGGACTGCCTGAGCCTAGGAGTTTGAGACCAACCTGGGCAACTTGGCGAGACCTTGTCTCCACAATAAGTCAAAAAATTGGTTGGGCGTGGTGGCGTGTGCTTGTAGTTCCAGCTGTTTGGAAGGCTGAGGTGGGAAGATTGCCTGAGCCCAGCTGGTCAAGGTTGCCACTGCACTCCCGCCTGAGTGACAGAGACTCTGACTCCAAAAAAAAAGATAGCTGAATTTGAGGCCTTGGGGACACAAAGGCGCTCCAGGGGGCTGCCCCGCTCACTTCTGATGGGCGCCTGGGGTCGAGCCCCTGGAGTCCCTTCCTCCGCCCGGCGCTAGCCAACCAACATGGCTTCTCCAGGGCTTCTCCAAGTTCTCAGGCTCCCGTGATTCTAGGCCTCTAGATTCCAAGTTCTCAAGGAGTCCCGAACACTCTAGGGCCTGAGAGACGCCAAGGCCCCAGGCTCTGCGACTAATGACTCTCTCACTTCCCGGTGTCCTTGTCCAATAGCCGTGTCACTGTGCAGGGCCGTGCCAAGACACTCTGTTACTCCCTCTGTTCACTCCTCCTGCCCCACCCCCCACTGCCCCCCCCAGCCTGATGGCCTAGCTTTGTCACAAAAGATTGGGAGTCAAGGGGCTCTGGATGTCCAGGGACAAGCAGGAGACGGGGGCTGAAGCAGTTTGCAGAAGGGCCAGGAGAACCACGCAAGGGGGAAGTGGGGAGGCAGGGGAAGTCTGGGCTGAGCTGGGGCCCCAAGGTGCGCTGGGGTGGGGGCTTACCTTCAGGTCCCTGTGTACAATGTTTTTCTGGTGGCAATAGTGCACAGCCGACACGATCTGGGAGGGACAGGGGAAGGTCAGGTATCTGGGTCCCGAAAGCCTCAGCCTTCCTCGGTGGCCCCGTGAGGCTACCTGGACCCCGGCCCTCCCCAACACAGGCCAAGACTCTGACTCACACCTTGACTTGGTCCGAGTAGGAGGTGCTCATGGAACCTGAGCAGGAACATGCTTTCACAGGGACACCTGGACACCCACATGCCCAGGACGTCAGAACCGATACATCGGGACCAGCCCCTCCTGACTTTCACTTCTGGGAACTCCCAAGGGCACCTCCAAACTCGCCAGGGCTCCAGGCTCTCATGCCCAGGACAGCCACACCATCCCAGTGACAACGCATGCCACACACCTGGCGTCCTCACACCCTCACACCTGCACATCCTCTTACCCACACCTGGCAGCCTCACACCCACACACCCGATCACGTTCCTTCTTGCTCACCTGGGCCCCCTCCCATATACCCACAAGATGTTGAGTACACACAACTTCTCACCCACGGATCTATATACCCACGTCCCTGGGCACCTGCACACCTATTTCTACACATCTTCCAATCCACCCTCACACGCACATACCCAGCACACTCAACCTATGTATCCTCTCATCCACACACCTATACACTGGAAAACCCTTGTGCCACACACGTGACACTTGCACCCCTGGTGCATTCAGGCCTCAACATTCTTCACCCAACTGGCCAGACCCCCACACACCTGCTCTAAAACCATCATACCTGGGTGCCAGCATACCTGCATCTGATGCCCTCACACCTGGGCCCCTGCACACCTGCTCTGGTCCCTCACACCTGGGCACCTGTACGTCTGAGACAGTCAACTGTGCACCTCTATCCCCATCCGGACCGAAGGCCCACCCTCAGGTAGCCCCAGGCCCTGTCCAGCTCTGAGACCCTCTCCCCAGAGACCAGGCACCGCCCCCACCCAGCCCGCCCCAGCCCCAGCCCCGCCCCTGACCTGTCGGAACTTGGCTCGGGCTTCTTTCTCCTTCATGCGGCCATGCGACACGAGGTAGTCAAACACTTCTCCTGCGGGGCAGAGGCGGAGTGGTCAGGGAGGCAGCATGTGGAGGCGCTGGCACAGGGACGGGGTGGGGGGACCTCACCGGCACTAGCGTATTCCATCACCAGGTACAGCGTCTTCTCAGTCTCGATTACCTCGAAGAGCTTCACTGCAAAAGTCAGAGCAATGTGGGGCGTTTAGGCAGGAAAGACCCCCCCGCACTTGGCAACTCTGGGGATGTGCCAACCACACACCCCCCCCAACCCTAAGAACCTTCAATGGCTCCCTACTGATGGCAAGATTTTCCAGACTCCTCAGCCCCACCTACCACCGTCTGTCTCTCAGAATGTCAGCTCAACAAGGCCAGGATTGTGTCTGTTTTCTTCATGGCTGTGCCCCCAGGACCTGGCCCATCGCAGCCAGTCAACAGATATTTACTAAGTAAGTGAACCAATGAATGAACAATATCCAGGCCAGGCTAAACCCTACTGGTCTCAGTAAAGATTCCTCTCTCCCCTTTCAGCCTAAAGATAATGACAATGACAACGAGACTGCTAATGAAAATAACTAAACCAGTTCCCACAGCTTAACCTGAACGAAGTATATTGGACGTCCCTATTTTTTTGTTTTTGTAGAGACGGGGTCTCCCTATGCTGCCCAGGCTGCTCTTGAACCCTGGTCTCAAGCGATCCTTCTGTCTCAACCTCCCAGAGTACCGGGATTACAGGCGTGAGACGCCATACCTGGTCTTGACGCATGGTCTGATCTATTCTTCACCATGACCTTGTAATAGGCCCTGTCATCAGTCCCACCCCAGAGCGGGAAATGGAGGCTCAGAGAGGTTAAATGACTTGCCCAAGGTCACACAGCAGTGATGCTACTCTGAGAAGCCAGGTCCCTCTAACCATGATGACCACCACCCCCTCTTCCCCTGATGGCCTCCTCTCCCACGTGCCCCACTTGGTGGCCTGCCTCCAGTCCACACCCTTCCCTCCTCACCAATGTTGGGGTGGTTCAGCCCCTTCATGATACGGACTTCTCGGAACAGCTGCACACGGCCAGAAAGGAAGACACAGAAGCATGAGAGGGGTGGCTGGGGATCCTTTCCCCTGGCAGGCCCAGGCAGGAAGGGTCAGGCATGTCACCCAGCTGTCCCGGGGACCTGGATCCTGCTCTGCCCCCCGTCCTGGGCCTCACCTTCTGCAGGCTGCTGGGGTTCAGCTGGGTTTTGTCAATGATCTTGATGGCGACCTAGGGGTGGAGAAGAGAAGGGGGGAGGTCAAGGTATCGCAGGTCCTCAACCCGGAAGAGCCCCCCAGTTCAGATGACCCCAGGATAGCCCTCTCTTGTCCCCTCTCCCAGAAGAGCCCTCACTCCAGGCCTTTCCTAGTGGCTGAGGAAATTGAGCCTTAGGGGCTTTGCACACACTGTCCCCAGCATCTCTGATGCTTCCCTCACCTTTGCAGGGAAATATCCCTTATTCTGTGGCAGGGTCTGGACAAGGCTGCTCCTGAGGCCTGTGACAGTGTGTGTGAGGGTGACCAGGATCTTGAGGGGATCCTTTTACGAGAGCATCTCAGATCATTCCTCCATCACATCTTTGTTTTGAACACATGAACTGCTTACAAATGAGAACTCTTTTTTTTTTTTTTTTTTTTTGGTTTGGGG